GAATCACTGTGATTTATAGCGTGTGTTATAAAGATTGTTAAGTTTAAAGTGACTGTGGAAATTCTGTGTATTACTAAAAGTTTGTATAGAGAAAGAATAAACTAGTTTTTTTAATCAAGAAGGGATTTGTATCGCTGAAGTCACTCGGAAAGAATTTTTTACCGGAAATTATCAAAGAAGCAGACACGAAACAGTTTTATAATATACCGGTATAGTAGGTATTATTGTCTTGAAGAAGCATACAGGCAAAATATTTGGTTGAAATACTTTGTTTTTTTAGCTATATTTTTATACGTGGTATTTTCAGGTAAAACTGAAATCCTGACAAGTATCAGATAGGCAAAACAAATAATAATAGCAGATTCTATCAAGAAATAAGGTGAGTTTTGTTAAAGAGTTCTATTAATGGTAAAATAACAAGTCTGGACAAATTTCAGTAAATTAACAAAATCTTCATTACAACAAATAAACAGAAACTAGGCTGTGGTCAGCTCCATATATTCTCTTCTAGGCTGTCGTCAACTCCACAGCCTTTCTCCTTCTGGATTAATATCCTTAGGACTATATATGTTGTTCTTGAAAGAAATCTTTAATTGATAATGTCCTGAATTCAACAAGCACTCCCTCTTTCTTCGTTCAGTCGACTGTGTCACTTCATGACTTTTATTCCTCTCACAGTATTGGTTGGCTGTTACATACAGTCAACGTCATAATCGACCAGTAAATTATACTACAGTTCCAATCCTTTACATCCGGATGCTGTATATTACTGTAATATTTTGCTGGGCAGTATCAAGAACAAAGATAAGAAGTAGCTAGAACAAAGTAATCTTAACTTTCTGAACTACGTGTTGCCGCCATTACATTACAGAAACTTACCAGCCGAAAATTGTTTTAAATATTTGTATCACTAAAACAAACAGAAAACTTAACATGTGATATGCCTACATATCACACTACACAAAGTTGCTTACTTTTATATAACTTTTTAATCTTAGATTTCTCAACAAATGTAGTTTTAATTTCTATAACTACCTGAGCCAGGATAGGTTCAGCAGCTTGTGTGCTTTGCTGCAGATTAGAAGATTCAAGCTGCAATATGTTTCAACACTTTCCAAACTTTCAATTGTAACTGTAAAAGTCATTCCCGCTATTTGAATAAGATTATAGAGTGACTGGTAAAGGCAAGTTCTACTGACTTGTACCCCTCCATCTTATCATCTGTTCTAAATTAACTGTAGCTGTATCCATTACTTAATTTTTCATGGAATTTTTATGCCCCAGCCCCAACAGCGATTCATCTTCCGCTAACCCAACCTCAGGGAACTGACATGTTAATGAGGACAAAGACTGAGTTAGCAGTGACCACTCTGTTTATTCATTTTAGTTTGTAGTTAATTCAGATGCTTCGTTTTATAATAAAGTAAATGTGAAATTTGTATTTATTTGTATTGTTTCCATCACAGAACAGTCTCAGGCAGCAGTCAAGGTGCTGAAATATTTTTCAGAACTCAGTACTGGACAGCTCTGTATGAAATTGAGCCCTGTAGCCTGAGGCTGTTCTTAAACTTTTAGAGTATTTTCTAGAAAACGACATCCTGTATTAGGTATTACTGAATATTCTTAGTTTTATCTTCTTTTTTATTCAAGAACTGCTTGTCAAATAGTTTTATCAAAGGTATTTGGTTGTTATTAAGCACAAAGCCACACCATAAGCTGTGAGTGCTCTGCCCACCAGGTGTATCAAAACCCGATTTTTAGCAATGTAAGTAGACTTATCGTTCAGCCGCTGGGGGGATGAGGAGGCGGTCAAAGCTACAATATCATCTAACAATAACAATTTCAAACTGTCTTACCTAATTTGTTAAAAACATTATACTGTCTTCTATAGTTTCGTCTCAAGAAACTATCACTTTTTATGTCGAAATATTTTAGATATTGAAATCAAACACAGACCTAAGTTTATATCAATTTATATTAAATAGGTTCTAGTGTATCTTTTTCTTTGATATATACGGTATTATCCGTGATATTACTTTAGTGTTAATCGAATATTTATAGTTTTATGAAGAATATCTAAATTTACATGGGTAGCATTATTATTATTTTCATTCTAATAAATAAGTTTTTAAGATTAATTTTATATGTAAAATTATATTATATTTGTCAAGACCACAATTTTATATTTCTTAAGATATAATTGATAGATTTGACTTTTCATAGGTGTTTGTTTGAAAAGAAAAACGAAATTACTTACAACTGAATTAGAAATGTCTGTGGAGGATGTTGAAGACAGCGAGTTAAGAGATTTAGTTATCCAGACGTTAGAAAAAAATGGAATACTTGGAAAAATAAAGGTTAGATATTTGAAAATCAAATTCATTCATGATAATATTATTATTGCTATGTAATTTGAACGGGATTCTTGAATTACGAACATAAGGACAAGTATCGAGAATAAGAGATTCAAAACAACTGCAAAATGGCCGGTCAACTAATTTATTATTTAGTAATTAAGTAATTCAAATGTTGATAATCCTTCACATCTTTATTCCCGCCTAATAAAATCTTTATATTAAAATAATCTAAATTTTCAACCCTCAATAAGTCACCACTAACTAAGATTTTTAAATAAAAAATACATTTTAATTTAAATTTAACATGACATGAAGAGAATAAGTAATCTATGTAAGTTAACACTTAACATTAACAGAATAATGCTAGTCGACAACCCATTACAAAAAGTATTTATTTAGTTTTTAAGCATATGACTTGCACTTAAAATTTTTATATACTAAGAGATTGCTTAGGGGAGAAACTGAACCCCTAACCACTTCGGCCATTTCTTGTTGAGTGCTTGCATGATCTGTTACTAACTAACTAACTCGCCATATAGCTTGTTTCTCAATGGAGTAATTTAACATCCTCAGTCTTTAAGTTTACACCCATTTATTTAATCACTGTTTTTGTAATGTCAAATTATTTAAAGCTTCCACTCATTGTAGAGTTCTGTAGTTACCTACCTTTCAGTTTATCTTTCATTGTGTGACCAAAGGGGGAGGTATAATTGCTGTGTTCTGTTTATCCATTTACTTACAGTGATAACCAATTCCTGCCAATTGTGTTAAAGTATTCCTTTTCACTTACAACCTGAGGTAAATGTTGTCAGATTACAATCTTTGGTAATTTATAATAGTAACAAGGCATACATTCTCACTCGTATCCAACTGCAGTACAATAGAAATTATGTAGAACTATCAACCTTGGTAATTGAATGATAACTAGAGATACGTTCTCCTTAGTATACGACCACAACATGACAAAAATTATGTAGCACTATTAAGGCATTGCATGGTGGAATCAACCTAGCAACAAATTAAGATAAACTCTCAGACTACTGCAAACCAAGTTATCTCTCTTGTAAATGACTCACCCTGTTAGAAAAATATAACTGTATTAGCTGAGGATGACTCCTACCTTTTCAAGATTTATATTTGTAACCCTAGTCCTACCATTCTCACGAGTAACTATAAAAAATAAATGATGCATTGACACTATCAATTCTGTTAACAAACTTATACACCTCAGTCAGTTCAATGGATGTAAGTATTACTTGTAAATGAGTGAAACTTTAGGCTACATGATTAGATATGTTGAAAAGAACTAACAAAGTTCCAAGATCTGTTTGTAAAAGATTTAAATTTATGAAAGGAAAGATTACTATCTTGGACACCCTAACATTTAGATTTTGGCTTAGTTGTAAATTCAAAATAGGCTTCATAATAGTAACTCTTTGCTCTTCTTTTTATGATAAAGATCAAAAACTAAACAATAAATTTCAAAAGATAAAAGCCTAACCAGTTATATATACATGTCAAAAGATAAAAGCCTAACCAGTTTTATATACATGTTAAAAGATAAAAGCCTAACCAGTTATATATACATGTCAAAAGATAAAAGCCTAACCAGTTATATATATACATGTTATCAGTTTTCCATTTAAAATTTAACTTTTCATCAGTTTGAACTTTGTTATCTTTGCAGAAATGCTAGTAACAATAACACAGGTCATGAAACAAAGAATTTCTAGAAAGAGATAAGTTACAAGGAAATTTAAGTGCCTCATTTGAATAAAACTGTCTTGATGATAAACTTGTATCATCAACAAACTATTTTATGGGTAAAAAAATTTATATCATAACTGAATTTATAATAATGTTTTTTTTTATTCTTAGAAGTACAAAATTGTGTTTCTATTTTGATAAAACAAGATTGTGTATGTATATATATGTATGTATGTATATGTGTGTATGTGTTAAAATAGACACAAAACCACATAGAAAGTAAGATTGTGTTTGTTCTGAAATATTTTTAGGCGCAACTTCGAGCCAGTGTTTTTTTAGCACTTGAAAATGAAGAAAACTTCAAAGATAAAATACCTCTACGAAACAAAAAGTTGCAGGACTTCCTAGAAACAGAGGAAGGACTATTAGCAACTGCTTTGGTTCGAGAATTTCTAGATTTTTTTGACCTCGAATTTACTCTTGCAGTTTTCGATCCTGAAGTCTCTGTGGTATGGAAACATATATTAGTATATATGTATAAAGCCATTTTTTATGTGTTATACAAGTCATTTATGAATTTAGTTGCTGTGCTTGTCAGTTTGTAAAATATAAGTATATTTAATTTAATTTGTAAATTCAAATAGAAAGTCTCAACAAGCAATTATTTAGTGAGAGTTTTGTCCATTGTCCTTAACGTGTTCTACATTCACAGAGACACTCAAGTTTGATTAGTTTATCTTGTTTAAATGTTTGGGAATCTAGAATTAACTTTATATAACTCCAGCACTAACTGGACAACTTAAAACTAAAGTTTGGTTGGATTAATCCACCTTGTCTGAAAGTTTGGGAATATTTGGCTGGTGATCCAGAACCAACTTTATATAACTCCAGCACAGATTTGTAAGGTTAAGGCTTGAGGTTTTTATTATCTGTATCACTTTGATTATGATTTTGAGAATATGTGTATAGAGATAAGATAACTTTAATGGATTGTACTGCCTATTGAGTGAAAAGGGCACAATGTTTCAGCTTCTATACTGAGATGTTCTTTAGTATATAAACCTAAATGTCATCTCCTTTTCATTCAGTAGGCAGTTGCAGTACATTTAAGTTCTCAAAGTGATTAAGACCATTAAAACATTACTATAAGATCAGAACTAAAAGGTGAATTACACTATGACAAAGCCAATCCTCTGCTGTGTTACTGTATATATCTATCACTACTTTTATAGATCTTAAGGACTCAAATTTTCATTGTTTTGTACAAATGTACATTTGTATTTCATAAAAGAGTAAAAAAATAATCAACTTGAGATGTAACTTTTTATAGCTGACATATTCTAAACATTTGTATTATCCCACTTCTGATACCAGTTGTAATTTGTTTTTTATTTTGTATGATATTTTGCCTGTTACTGTTTTGTAGTACCACAATGAACTTAACTAGTTGTACTTTATGTGTCTCAGGTGGACAGTATTAATAAATGTTATATTACAGTTGAAGCAGGTAGCTCAGGCGGACAGTATTAATAAATGTTATATTACAGCTGAAGCTAGGTAACTCCAAACAGACTGTATTAATGAATGTTATATTACAGCTGAAGCAACTGCCATTAAAGAATGAGTTATATCATAAGCTGAGAGTCACTCAAAAGGATGAGCCTCTTCTAGCCACAATACTGAAGTCATCAGGAAATAATCAACCTGATGAAAAGGTAAAAGTTTAGAAAAACTTAAAACTATAAACATTATTAATGGATGTCAAATGTTGTGAGAGGAAACCTGAAGTTCTGTTTCAAGAAACATTTCACTGAACCTGAGAAGTGTAATCTCGACACTCTCCCTCTTTTGCTTTTCAGATCCTCTTCACTGTTTATTTAAATTCAAAAGAAGGATTTAAAAAAAAGTTAGCATTTTTGAATAATTGACTGTTCTTTTCCTGAAGAATAGTTAACTATTCAAAAATGCTCAAGTTTTGGGTCTGTTATTAAAAATCATTACATCTTTTGTGTATGATTCTGTTTTGGGTCTGTTATTAAAAATCATTACATCTTTTGTGTATGATCCTGTTTTGGGTCTGTTATTAAAAATCATTACATCTTTTGTGTATGATCCTGTGTGCTAACTTTTATCACAATTCAAGAAGGATTTATAGCTGTTTTTTTTTTACAATTGTGGATCATTCCAGCTGAATATCAGGTTTGATTCCTTCTCTAAACTTAACTATTTCATATCACATGGTTATTGGGTAATGAAGCCCACAGATATAATCAGCTTTTATTTAACTTCAGTTATTTATCACCTCCACATGTGCAGTGGTTGTCCCCCAACATAGCTTCTTTTTTTGGGGGGGGGGTCTTCTCACCTCTGTTTTCTCATTTAAACTTTTTTTTCATTATGTTTAGATTCTAAGGTAAGTAAAACTTTGTCTTATTGCCTGTTTCGTGCACCTTATTTTTTACACCTAAACTTTTTCATGGTTTCATTTTCCTATGAAGTGAGCAGTATCATACATGTAATTGTTTTTGTGTTATTGGTTTGTAATTGTTAAGTTATTGTACTTTGTGTCTGTAAATGATTTTTTTTACATGCTTTTAGTGTTGATGCCTATTAAATACATCTTATTAAAAATATCAGCTGTCATCTTGAGTTTAGAGAGAATATATCTTTTTTAGATGTGATATTTTCCATTTCGTTTATAGCTTTTTCATCACCTTTTTTTCGTTATAAGAACATGGTTATTTTTATTCTGTTTCTAAAGAATACAAAAGTTTTTTTCTCCACTGACTAAGTTATGTTATCTTGGGCAGCTGGACAGAACCTATACATAATTTGTTTGGCTCTGCTTGTTTTGTTCTTTGTTGCCGTACCAAATCATCGTTATGGACAACCTCAGCTCCTGTTGTAGATATTAGTGAAAAAGAAAAATTACCAAATACTGTTGATTTTTACTATTATTTTACTGTATTTTAAATCTAATTTATCTCCAGTTGGCCATCTTTTAAGAGAAAAATTGGTTCAAACAAAAAAATCTGGTATTATTTTCAGGAAGATTCAAAGTCACATTGTCAAAACAGTGACAGTCAGCCACATTCCCAACAATCAGAGAAGGTGAGTGTAGAAGAAAGGGAAAACGAGGATCATCATCAACCTTTGTTTCTGGGGTCTGAGAAGAGTTTAAGTGGATTAGACGACCCTTTTTTTTGATGAACCACTACCTAATGAGGACAAAGAAGAAGTTATTTTTAGGTGGATACTTTTTATTTTCAAAGAAAAGTAAATCTGTATATAAACCAGAAACAAAGTTATGTTAGTTGTCATCCTTAAGATAATGCATATATACATCAGATGTATTTATGACACTGACAGTTCCAATATTCAAGTAGGATAAAGTTTATATGTAATAAAGGTAGTATAAAATCTATCGTGGATTTTTCAACTCATTAATTTATGTTGTTGTTTTTTCAAGGGTTACAGCAAAATTAGATAAATTTTCAGATAGTGACAGAAGACGTGTACCACCTCTGAAAAATACAACCGAAAGTGAGCTTGAGTTATCAGCTGGGAAGAACTTGAAAACTGTAGTGACGGAGCCGGAAGGTAGTGACATCTTCGAAAGTCAAGAAAATAAAACTTTGCAGAAAAAATTACCCGAAGAAAGTCATGCTGGGAGTTTATCATCACTAAGAGACCTTCCTTCTCTTAACGAAAGTGGTGAGAGCAGCATTTTAGTCACACAACTAACTGACACATTTTATATCATTCACTGTCTTCTGTAAAGATGTTTTGGCCTCATTTTTGTTTCGGAAACTGTTATTGTAAATCTTTATATGTTATTACTGATAGTTTATGGCTAATAATTAGTTCCTCTCTCATTTAGAAACATTTCATACATACAAACTGTCACAAAAAAATGTTTTTACAGAAGTCTCTTTCTGAAGATTATTCACCTTAATAAAGAAGACACAAGGTTATTCTGTACAAAATAACGTATATGCTGTATTATATAGTTTCTCCATTCTAGCCTAATCTAGGTTTTAATTTCAGATATCTCAGGTGTGAAGATTAGCATTTTTTTATGAAATAATTTTGGTTTTATAAGTGATATAAAGTTACGGTAATGCCTTGTGTTACCAATTGCTTTTTAACAATTTGTACTTAATTTGATATCAGTATAAAACTTTCATATGGAAATTAGCAGGCTTGTGTGAATATCAGCATTTGTTTTTCTTGTTTACATATAGGCCTCCGTTTTCATGTTGTTTTTTATCCTTATTAATATTGGTGCACTTTTCCGCATGTAGAACTGAGTACAACTATGATGGATACTTGTCATTAACAGTTTGATGCTTTATGTAAGATGTTATGGGACTTCCGTAAAATACATGTCTTTCTGTGTAGTGTAATAACTGGTATAAAGCTGTAAAGTTAGATGTTATGGGACTTCCGTAAAATACATGTCTTTCTGTGTAGTGTAATAACTGGTATAAAGCTGTAAAGGTTGGATGTTATGGGACTTCCGTAAAATACATGTCTTTCTGTGTAGTGTAATAACTGGTATAAAGCTGTAAAAGTTGGATGTTATGGGACTTCCGTAAAATACATGTCTTTCTGTGTAGTGTAATAAC